GCAAGCCCTTTCAACTGCTTCTATTTAAAGGACTCGCCCCTTCCCTATGGCTGTCTGGCAATAGCTCCAGGGATGGCATGAGCCCTGTAAATAGAAGCAGTTGAAAGGGCTCTAGCATACCCAGTTCCCAGGCAAAGTGCTTGCAGTGAGGCTGGGAACAGCAAGCCCTTTAAATAGCAGGAATTGAAAAGTCTTGCAGCTCCTGTCCCCCGCTAACATGATGCCTGGGAGCAGCAGAGCAGACACGAGTTCTATCAACTCCTTCTGTTTAAAGGCTCTGCCCTTTCCATCCGAGGCTCCACTACTTCTGCCCAAGGCTCTGCCCTTTCCAGGGCAGCCCACAGCCACTTCAAAATTTTTTGAAGTGGCCCCCTTTCAAAAATTATTGCCCACCTCTGTTTTAAACAATAGGATTACTTTACCAAGAAAGATTCCATTCCTGATTTTGGTGATGTATAACAACTTTAGCTTCAAGAGACTGAATGCAACAACTGCAATGTGCTGATCACAATTTAACAGACAGGCCACATGTTTAAAAAAAACATGTCAAATGCATCACTTTCCAGTCTTGATGACTCCGCAACAAAGTGCACAATTGAGACATGTCTGCAGTATTGCAACAACTGCTTCAATTTCAATTCTCATGATCACACAGTATCAACTCCCTAAATAGTGAAGTAATTATAACAAAAGACAAGCAATGAGCCGATATCAGGATTTGCAGTGTGCTTTGTGCCAGCAGAGACGTCACCCCCATAGTAAAGCTATCAGCTAATGAGATTTCCTGTTTCAGCATCAAGTGTTATATACAGTAGCTCACTTTCTTGGAAAGGAGCATTAGCACTAACATTACAATTATTATACAGATTTTATTTACACCTACCAAATCAATTTATAATTTAAAACGGATACCTCTGTGCCCAGTTACTGAAGCACATGCTTTATTAAGTGGACACCGTTTTAACACAGAACAGAAGCATACCTAAAGGATTGAGCAAGAGATTCATCTAATAAATTCTGTTGCTTTTGTTAGTACTAAAGTGAATGTCAAAGTTGGAACAACTGAATTAAAATACATTTGTGTGACAAATTGCCCTGCAAACAGAGCTACGTGAAGAATATGGGAAATGATGGTTAAGTACAGAAATAACAAATATTTTCAAAATTACATAGGTGCCCATTGCATTTTTGCATTCTCTAGTGGGAAACCCCACAATGCCGCATTTTGAGACTTCATAGGTATCAGAGGAGTCAGCAGTTGCATGACTAACCTAATTACCAATGCACACATTCACTCTCCCGTCTAAGTTCATTACTATGACTTAGGAATCCAAACTTCAATTAGAAACTGCCTTTTATCTCTCCCATCCTGGCCAATGCACCCATGAGCGCTACAGATGAGTTTCATTGAAAAAGTAAAAACAAATGAAGGAGAAAGTTTCAACTCCTCCCAAACTAGTTTCTTAAACTTTAAAGCAGCAGCACAGTTAAAATATGGGATTTTGTTTCTTGTCTTTACTGGTGATGAGGTTCCGACTGCGCAGCTGCTGGGAGATGGTGGTGTATCACTGTAACGTCATCAAAGAGACCAAATCAGTCAATGAGAACACAGCTTTGAAAAATCAGTGTCCAGGGATGTACTATTAATATGCCATTATGGGCTCTTCCAGGATGTGATCTTAGACACTGGTGAAGCTGAGAGGAGAATGGGGTTTGATTAGGTATTGTTCTCTGTCAAGGAGTGAACTAGCAGAAGAGAATGTGATTACAAACTGACATTGGGTCTTTACTATTCACAGCTCTATTTGTCATTATTGTTCTCATTTTGGCTGTACACTTGGATGGGAGGGCAGGGCGGAATAGAGGGAAGTCAGTTTTCCTTTTAATTAATTCTATGATTCCCTCACAGTAGCATCGTAACTCTTCTTTCATGGGAGGAACTATGTGAATGAGGTGTAGTTTATTCTGTTCAATGTGTTTCTCTTGTAGATAAGTACGAAGGCAAAATCTCTGCATTTTCATAGGTTTTATTTTCTTTGCTTTAAGGGTCTGCCACATATTGTAATGGTCCTGAAACAAACACATATACATTTTCCTTATTGTAAGTTTGCCACCCACCCACTAAGTCCCAGTTTGTGCTTACATCCCCTGTTAATTCATTTTAGGTTTGCTCAGGGAAAATGGTGTTGTTACCCTCAAAAATAATTAATTCAACAGCCTACACAGCACAATAGGTGTATGTACTTCAGCAAGTTTCACTAATGAATAGTACATTGTGAAACAAGTGAAGTGATTACTACTTCATTATTGGGAAGTGGCAGTGCATTTTCTGTTGATCTGTTTGACTGCCCTTTTAGAGATCTGAACTTAAACAGTTTTCAGAAATAATAGGAAAAAGTCAAGAAACTTAATGTGTCCTTTCAGATAAGCCTTTTTGTTCTCTACCTGCATAGGATAAAAGCACTAAAAGAACAAAAGCATACATAGACAGAGACGGCAGGTAATGTCTCACAATAGGATTAAAAATTTCACATCTGTATGTAATTGTTTTGCTGGTACCAGAGTACTATATATAAAGCCAAAATGTACACACTGTGATTTTATATTATGGCCCCAGGTTTCTGGTGGCATGTACAGGCAGTCCCCGGGTTACATACAAGATAGGGACTGTAGGTTTGTTCTTAAGTTGAATCTGTATGTAAGTCAGAACTGGCGTCCAGATTCAGCCGCTGCTGAAACTGACCAGCGGCTGACTACAGTACAGTCCCTATCAACAGAGCAGCCTCTGACTATTTAAAATTAACTATTTGTGTCTTCCTTCCTAGCCCATAGTAGAAATGACACATTTACTTTATACAGCAGTTTCTGCATGTGCAATTTAAGGAAAGCCAGCTCAACTGAGTTTTTGTGCTTAGTTATGAATGCAGAAATGTCTATGGTTGGTGTCTCCTATAGAAGTAAGTCCCATAGGCTATGTCTACCCTGCCAGCTTTTGCTGGCAGAAAGTATGCTAATGAAGTGCTTATTAGCAACTTCTTGCATTTCATTTGCATAATCTCTGGCCAAGGCTTTTTGTGCAAGAGGTTTTTGCACAAAAACTAGCAGTGTAGACAGATCTGTTTTGTGCAAAAAACCCCTTTTGCGCAAGATCTGTATACCTCCTTTTTGAGGCGTAAGTCTTAATAACTCTCTCGACAGATGTCTCCAATAGAAGGGATGTTATAGAAAGGCATGCATTTCCTTCATCTCACCAGCATCATCTTCATCTTGACTAGACTGAGCTTTAGGCATCTGATTTTGACTAGACACTGAGAAAGCTAGAAGAGGATGCAGCTCTCCTGACACAAATCTTTGGTTTACACATTCATTGAAACAGAAGCAAAACTTTAAGGAAAATAAATGGTATAAAAATCATAAACCTTTTGCTTTGGCTAAACTGAGCAATTTTCCCACTAGGCATGACAGGATAACTGTTTACCCTTGTTTAGTTTTTTTGTTTTGCTTTGTTGGTTTTTTGTAAGGCCTTGCATGTTAAGTATAACTTATGTAGAGCAGGACAGCCCAGACGCCCCCCCCCAGCAGACCAGGGAGACACGGAGCAGCTTTTCTCGCCCCGTAGGACACAGGCGGCGGGACCGCGGCACATCTGGGCGTCCCGCCGCTCCCGTCCTCCGGGGCGAGAAAAACCCCATTCGTAACTGCGGATCCAACATAAGTCATATCCGTGTAACTCGGGGACTGCCTGTATAGGCCACCATAACTCTATTTATATTCTCAAATGAAAAGGATAGCCATGTTATCTACCCATTCTGCAATTCTCATCATGTGCCCCCACTTCTGTAATCTCTGTACTAGTTTATCCTATTCTTTTAGTTTATGGCAGTATGCGTTCCTTAAATCTATCTTCATTTCCACCTATATCTCCTGACCCCAACTGTAAACTCAAAGTTCTTACTTGACTGCTCCTTTTGTCTCCTTTGCTCACTCAACTTTGTACATATTTTCCTCTTCCCTGCTTGAAGTACACCAATGTCCCTCCTCCTCCTTCAGTTATATGGGCAAAAACCTAAATGTTCTGTGAAATATATTATACAATCTTATGCCTGCTTGTGCCTTCAGATTTTAAATGGTTTGGGGCATAGACTTGTATATTTTCACATAATTCACTGGATTCAGTGCAGAATATATTTATGGGTGCTACATAAACAATAAAAGTAACATACAATTTTGTTTCATCTGAAGAAGTGGGTTGCACCCACGAAACTCATGATACCATCTGCATGTTTGGTTAGTCTTTAAGGTGCTGCTAGACCATTTGTTGTTTTTTATACAATTTAAAGACTCTTAAGTCAACTACTAGAGAAAATACAGGATAAAATGATTAATCCAGTGCTGGTTTATTTTCTCATCCCACAAAAAAGTTTTACCCATTGCACAAATTATAATAATCCTGATCTGAGTTAATTTTAATGGGCTAATCCTGGTTTACCCTAAATTATCATTAAAATTCTATTACCCTATATCAGTGTTTATCAGTTTATGGATCACAACCCTCAAGAGGTCACTAAAAGTAATTAGGAGATCACAAGGTACTGAAAACTGTATTACATTTCAATACAAAGAAAAACCTCACTCCCCCCACTCCCTTATTCTTCAAGGTCATGTATTTTTCCTGTCAGCTTTGTCTTTCTAAAAAAACATGGGATTGATATGGCCACAAAAAAATACTGCAAACAGCCTTTTGAAACACAAAGTATAGACACTGTTATCAAAGATACACTTTTCACTCAATCTATAAAAGGGGTCTTGTTCTTCTTCACATTCCAAAATAAGGAACTGGCAACATGAAAAGATTCAGAAACACTGCCACAGGTTAACTACAGTTTACCTGATCCTACCTCTTTGAAATCAATGGGAAAATCTCCACTGATATTAACAGGGGGCAGATCAGGCTCAACGTTTGTATTTATCTGTAGAGGCCAAGGCTGAGTGAAACTTACCTCCAACTCTTTGACTATCTTGATGATTGACAGTTGAGATTCGGACACACTTTTTTCCTTTATTAGGCCTTCATTCTTCAACTCAAGATCTTCTTTAGCTTTTAAAAGGTTTTTACACTTATTAAAAAGTTCTTCAAGTTCTACATCCTTTTCTTTAATTGTTACTTCAAGTTTCTAGCAAAAAAAAAGTGTGTGTAATGAAAATCATACAAAGCTTAGTATTACTATTGTAAAAAATGTGTAATAATGCAAACTTCAAAAGTAACTTATTTCAGGTATGTTCTTTATTGTTTGGTGGGAAAAAATCCAATTTAAGCTCGTAATTGGAAAAAGGTAGCATGCACATGAAAGGATGGTACTCAGTTTGGGCTTAGTCCTGCAAGGTTCAAACACCCTCAACTCCTACTGACTTCAGCAGTAATTAAGGGCACCCAGGATAATGTTAGAGAGCATTTTTTCTCCACAAAACAAGTTTAAGCAGGAACACTATATGCATTTGCAGAGTTGCCCCTCAATGTACCTTAGCCTGTTTTGAAGGGACTTCCTTATAAAGATGAGAGCGCAGTTCAATATCAACACCCATTCCTTAACTCCCAGTTTCTGGGGAACAAATTGAAACAGATCACCAAGGGAGGTCTTTAAGATGAGGTTAGAGAAACACGTGTCAAGGATGGTCTGGGTATACTTCAGTCTACCTTCATGTGAGAGGATGAATGTGGTAACCTCTTGAGATCCCCTCCAGCCCTACATTTCTCTGAATAACCTGGATGCACTGGGAGCTTTTAAAGTATCTCATAACAACAGCAGTTTTGCCATAAGAACACTGGCAACACTTCCTCCCTCCTCCACCCCAAATTTCATAAACCCTTGGGAACTTCTGTTGAAAGCCACACAGCTAGGTATCCATTGTGCAAATACAAAATTATAAAAAAGGTAGAGGATTATCATGAAAATCAACAGTAACTGGAAACAGAAATGGGATTTTGTAATCACTGCTCATTCAAAAAAAAAATCATACAAAAGTGTTCATTTTTCATTTCAGATTAAGTCTACCTACCTGAAGCAATAGATCCTTTTGACAGACACTGTCTGTTAGTTGCTTGATAACTAGTTCTTGACTTTGCAACTTCTGATTGCTTTCACTCAAAAGAATATTGTAATGATGTTCCACTGCTTTTTCTTTCTCAATCATTTCACCATGTAATTTCTCTAGCTGATTTCTAAGATCCTACAAAAAGGTGAAACTGAATATTTAGCAAATAAGCTTTACAAAAAATGTGAGTGACAACCCATGTTATTAGTTTAACTTTCCATTCCTTTAAATTACAACTATCACTGAATGGTCTAAAGAATATATGTAAGTCATTGTCTTCCTTTTAGCATCTTAAGAATAAAGTTTAAGCAATACAAATTTAAGTGTGAAGTATCAATATTGTCTTGTATTTATCTATGCTATTACTGTCTTAATGCCTTTTCTTCAGAATGACTGGACTCAAAGGCAGTAGAAAATCTCACATGCACCCACACACATATTGGCGGTGTCTACACTGGCAATTTATTCCGGAAAATCAGCTGCTTTTCCGGAAAAACTTGCCAGCTGTCTACACTGCCCGCTTGAATTTCCGGAAAAGCAGGAACACTCATTTCATAAATCAAAGCAATTTTACACTTTTGCCAGAAATAAAAAATAGCTTAGTGGCAATACAGTTTGTCATCTTTCCCTTTTTCCATTCACACCATGGAAATCTTTGCACTAAGATTGTGTTTACTAGTCACTTTTGAATTAATCAAAAGGTAGAAGCGTTAAAACATTTCCCTTCCCTGATAACACGAGCTTTAGGCTACCAACCTGAGAAGAAAAGTTAGCCTTGTGACTAAAGCACTGACTTGGACTCCAAAAATGTTTCCTTTGTAACCCTCAATTGCTTAATATCTCTGCACCTCAGCTCCCCATCAGTAAAATGCCTATCTTGTTTATTTAAACTGTAAGGGTATGTCTACACTAGCCCCTACTTCGAAGTAGGAAGGCAAATGAAGCATACTGAAGTTGTAAATCAAGCCCGAGATTTAAATATCCCGCGCTTGATTTGCATGATCCCGGCCGGTCGCCATTTTAGAAATTCACTAGCCCGGAGTAACTGCCCGCGTCTCCACGCGGCAGTGAAACGGGAGTCCATTTAACATCCTCACTCGAATTAGCTGGTATTCCTCCTGCAATGAGGTTTACCAGCTAATTCAAATTAGGGGGTTTAAATTGGACTCCCGTTTCACTGTTGCATGTAGACGTGGGCAGTTACTCCAGGCTAATGAATTTCTAAAATGGCGACCGGCCGGGATCATGCAAATCAAGCGCGGGATATTTAAATCCCGGGCTTGATTTGCAACTTCGGTATGCTTCATTTGCCTCCCTACTTCAAACTAGGGGGCTAGTGTAGACATACCATAAGATCTTCAGGGTGAGGACTGTCTCTTATTGCATCCACATACAGTACCAAGGATAAGAAGAACAAGATATCAGTTGCTGCCTTTAGGTACTACTGTAATACAAATAATAATACTCCCTTATTTTGTTAATGAGACAAGAGTCATCAATCATTCCCTTGTTTGTTTTAAATCCTTCATCAAGAGGTAAGGCTACATGTGGAGTCAAGAAGATGCATCCCCAACAAAAGTCTTTGGGCAAAGTGTATTTCAGCAATGCTCTAATTCTACTTCCTAATGTTTGACTGCTAAAGTGATCAATCCTGAAGACAATGGAAGGGCTTATATATGGGAGGGCTTGCAGAATCAAGCTCCAGCACAGTATATCTCATTACTAAACAGATTTCAGTCACAGGATGGAGGAAAGAGGTGGCATAAGACAAGGGAACAAAACATAATGGCCATTTGGTTTCTAATAGGCCTTGTCTATATTGACCCGGAGATCGACCTTCTGGGATTCATTTTAGCAGGTCTAGTAAGGACCTGCTAAATCAACCACTGACAGTACCCCCCTTGACCTCAGTACTCCATGGGGTTGCAAGGAGTAAGGGAGAGTTTCTGCTGTCGACCTCCCACAATGGGGACACTGCAGAAATTCAACTTATGGTGGGTCGACTCCAAGCTACGCTATTCTTGTACCTGAAATTGCATATCTTAAGTCAAATTTCTCCCTCAGTGTAGACCTGGCTATAGTCTTTCTCTTACCCTCATCCTACTTCCCTGATCAGTCATTAATTACTTCCAAATAAAATTATCTGTTTATAGTGATTTTGCTAGAAATGTCAAGACTAAGAAGGGAAGAGAAGCAGCTTGTGCCTATATGGGTTTTGTTTGACAACTCTTATTTTACAGCAGAGAGCTAAAATGCTCAGTACAAGGACTACATAACAGCATGCAAGAAGATACCTGCCAACAAAAGAGCAGTTGTCAAAAATTGCTTAAAAATAATTTTTAAATATGCACTAGATTGCATTACTTTAAATACATGCTCTAAATAAACAGCACATGCTCTAACATCACAAGTACTACCTATTTATCTAAGTTTAGAGAAATAACAGAGGTGATACTTTAATGTTATGTTTATTAAGAGTTGTGTGATTTTTCCTTGACTTAATTACCTTAATTTATGCAAGTTCACATCAGACCCCTACTATTTTACCTGCTTTGGTGTTTTACATTTTATGTATTTTGTATATTAAATACCAATTATTTACACTACCTTTTGCTTTACTTTCTTGAGCTTCACATTGGCACTTGGCACTCACTTAAAAAAAAATCACTAACAGCTACTTTCATTTCTCAAAATAAGATCCTATGATCTAAGTTGGAAAGACTAAGCAAGATCAGGTCCCAAAACTCCAAATTAACAAATGCAAGGAGTACAGCTCAGATCAGGGGGATTAGTTGCTTAGAGGAGGGACTATCTAAGGCTACATCTACACTGCAGAGCTAATTCGGGATAGCTATTCCGCGTCTTAAATGCAAGCCCCTTATATTGAAATTGCAAGCCCCTCATTGCATGAGGGGTCAGGGACATTTCGGAATAGTGACTTATTTCAAAATTACCTCAAAATAAACTATGCAATTAGTGTGTATTTTGAGATAAGGGTGCTGTGTTGATGCACCCTAAGTGAGGATTGCAGGATCAGGCTCAAACTTTGTATTTGCTGAAGGCACTACCGGCAATGTTCTCATACATACACTAGTCCTCAAATGCTATTTTTCAGCAAGTTTCTGGTCATTGATACAACTTCCAGCATAGGGATAGAATGAGCTTTTTGAAATAAATATGAAATCTTGTGGATGTAGTTGCCTTTGGCTCCAAGATATGGATTTCCTCATTTGGGACATGCAAGATGTAAATTAGCATTTGAGGTCGCACTGGAGAGCTATTATTTTAGAGATGCATTCCATAGATCTGATAGTTATTTTTCCATTTCCCTACTACATTTGGGACTAAGAAAATACATTTTCACTATAAGTGGCTATCACTTGAAAATTAAACACTTGTAACCTAATGCACTCCTCAAACTCCAATAGAGCCTAGAATTTATTAGCTTTGATAAAGAGAAGTCAGAGACAGCTTTAAGGAGAGAAGTTGTTAGTAGGCATGAATAGAAAAGAGGTTGTTTTTTACATCCTTCTTAGAGGATGTAAAAAGCAGTAGTTTCCTCCCTTAATTAAAACTATGTTTAAAGGGGGGGAATTTTTTGAATGAACAATGTATAGTGGTTCCTAAACAGAGAATGTAAAGGATTTCTTGTGTCACAGCTCATGATATTTCCAAATCCTGCTAGGCTAAGCCCTGGCCTGAACAGAAAATTATTTTCTTTGCATAGGCTAGGATTCTATAACAAACTATCCATCACTATACCAGTTTGCTTGAATTCACTGACCACTTGAAGTGGCTAGAATAAAAGAAAGTCTATTAGTTTCCATACATTGAGTTACAAGGATAATATATGGTAGCTACAGTCCTTTAAAATGCTTTCTGGTAACCTTTGTCTCAAAGGATTTTTTTCCTATGATTAATGATAGCTGAACTTAGAAAAAATGAATTTGAAACACTAACTAATGTTGGAGGAACAGGAATAAGTACTTCCCCTCTTCATTGGTTGGAAAACCTGTTGGTGAATAATTAAGGCTTGAAGCTTCCAACTCTCTCCTTCAGTTTAATTTCAAGAGACGAGCAGGTGGTAAATACTGACTAATGAGTTACTGTACACTTCTCAACCAACTGATCAAATATGAATACAACTGAGAAATATACCTTAATTGCCTGTATTTAGGCCTGGAGAGAACAGCTATTTAAGATATTTCACATTCAGGGCTGGAACCAATTCTTGGATTTTGAGTTTTACCCAATATTAAAAAAACAGCAAGCAAATGGTCTGGTAGCACTTTATAGACTAACAAAACATGTAGATGGTATCATGAGCTTTCGTAGGCACAGCCCACTTCTTCAGATGACCAGAGTTAACTCCAGTCATCTGAAGAAGTGGGCTGTGCCCACGAAAGCTCATACCACCATCTACATGTTTTGTTAAGTCTATAAAGCGCTACCAGACCATTTGCTTGCTGTTTTTTTCTGCAACGGTTTGTCTACACTAGCCCCCTAGTTCGAACTAGGGAGGCTAATGAGGGCGACCGAAATTGCTAATGAAGCTCGGGATTTAAATATCTCGCATTTGATTAGCATAATCCCAGCTGGTTGCCATTTTGGAAACTGACTAGCCCGAAGTAACTGCCCGCATCTACACGCGGCAGAGAAGCGTTATTCCGAGATAAACCCCTCAGTTCGAATTAACTGTTACTCCTCGTGGAGTAATTCGAACTAAAGGGTTTATCTCGGAATCCCGCTTCTCTGCCGCGTGTAGATGCGGGCAGTTGCTTCGGGCTAGTCAGTTTTCAAAATGACGACCGGCCGGGATTATGCTAATCAAGCGCAGGATATTTAAATCCTGCGCTTCATTAGCAATTTCAGTCTCCCTCATTAGCCTCCCTAGTTCAAACTAGGGGGCTAGTGCAGACGTACCCTAACAGACTAACTCGGCTACCCCCTGAAGCACCTAATATTAAGACCATGTTGTGTACACACACAGACAATAGATGTACATATTTACAAACTGTTGATCTTTATTCCTGATCATGCTAGAAGAAGCACTTTGTTTAACAATCTATATCTCAATAGTTGGTTGTTTTAGCAGCCAAACTATGCAGAACGGAATGCTGAGATAAAGCTTTGTCTTAAGACAGCTCCCTCTTAAAGACAAACAACAGATAATTAAGTGCCAGCTAATGTATAGGACCAGACTGGTGTAATCTTCTGTTGTTTTATATTACTGTTTTGTTTTTAATTAGCTAAAAATTCAGTGAACAAAGAGGTGCAAGTAGGATACAGTAACCATTTTGATGAGTCCCTATTCCTACTTATGAGGAATATCTTACTGATTCATGTTGATAATTTGAATGAACAGATCACAAGAGTCTTTCACATACTAAACTTAACTGATTTTCCCCCCCACTTTTCCCAATGCACAAGCCTACCCCAGAGTCTGCCAAAGCATTTCTTTTCACCTTGCCAATACAGAATGGTCAAACTTGGATGAAGGCACTTGTCATGGGCTTCTCTTTTACACAGAATCCCACTAGCTTCTTTTGATATTGTTATTCGTAGAACTATATCATTAGGATTCTTCTGTGTGAAAAGTCATTAAAAATGTTCAAAACAAAACCAGGAAAGAGATTAAATGGCATCTAACTATAAATTTGGATGGGGATTAGGGATGTTAAAATGCGGTTAATTGACTAGTCAAGGAGTCAGTGGAATTTCTTGTACATAACAAAGGAGGAATGTGGACTCAGCATACAATCCAGGGCCAGCGAGAAGTCCCGCTGATTCTGGGCTGCACGCGGATGCCTGCTTTGAAATGTACAAGAGTCCCCAGTAGGGGCTCTTGTGCATTTCAAAGCCACAGAGTCTGGGGTCAGCAGGGAACTCCCCAGCTGACCCCGGTTCAGGGTGGCACTTCAGCAGAACCCGGGATCAGCTGAAGACACCCCAGTTGACCCTGGGTTCTAGGAAAATGCCGCTCGGATCACAGAACAGTCCCCAGCTGACCCCAGGCTCCACAGCGCTTTGGCATTTTAAAGGGGCAGAGGCTCAGCTGTGCAGCGGCTGCCCTGTTGAAATGCCAGCTTGGGGTTTCAAAACGTCAGCGGCGCACAGCTGATCTCCAGCTCAGCTGTGGGGTGCTGCCACTTTAAATTACCCCTTTCGCTGCCTCTCTTTCAGAGAAATGCTTATCAGATAGTCAACTAGTCTGTAACATCCTAAATGGGGATACTAACAAAAAAAAAATCAACCTGTCCTATAGAAGTCGACTTAATAGTACAACAGTCCATGTGAAATTAATAGAACAGCTTTATTTAAGGCTGCTCGCACAAAATGCTTGCATCTGATCACTAGAGCGATTTTCTGTATCTTGAAGAGCGAGGCATTATGTCACACATTTTACTCCCACATAACTACTACTCAGCAATTCACAGGCAATATTATACACAAAATATACTTGCACAATCTTGGCTTTTGTTTTTGAGCTGAAAGTACATAACAGTAGGAGTAGCTCAGGAATGTAATTTGTAGGGCTGCTCATCTTTTGGTAGGGATACTTTTCCCCAAGGAACTTAATCACCTATGTGAAAAACTTGGCCATAATTGAATCAAACAGACTTCTCCAAGGGACGTAACCTCAAACCTGTCTTTCCTGTACACATTTATATTCTAGCTCCCTTAAGAGAAAATGGAGATTCTGTATAGCGAAGACAGTTGAAGATAAAGTACTTTAAATCAATAAAATATGCTTTTTATGGCTGTTGTAATGACAGGAACCATCCATTCTCTTTTTTTCTAATCTCAATACACAGAAGAAATTTCAAGGGACAAAGATTCTGTGATGGCAAGTGAACCACATTTGAGAGCAAACAAAGCTATAACTAAAATACACTGATCTTGTAGAGGAAAAAGAAATATGTTTACAGAGAAATAGACCCC